AACAGAGAGGGAGACAAACCATAAGAGACTCTTAACTGTAGGGAACAACGGAGGGTGGCTGGAGGGGAGGTGGGGGGGGATGGGGTAACTGGGGGATGGGCATGAGGGAGGGCACTTGGTGGAATGAGCACTGGATGTTGTATGCAACTGATGAACCACTAGATTCTACCTCTGAAACTAATAATATACTATATGTTAATTAAATTTAATTTAAATTTAAAAAAATTTTTAAATAAATAAAAGCTGATTAGCCCCCTCCCAAAATAAACAAACACCAGGGCGGGGCTTTTTTTTTTTTAACTTGTAGTCAAAAAACAATAGAATATTTACCATTATAACCATTTTTAAATGAACGGTTCAGTGGCATTAAGAACATTCACATTGTGGTACAACCCTCACCTCTATGCATCTGCAGAACTTTTTCATCTTCCCCAGCTGAGACTCTGTACCCATTATACAGTAATTCCTAATTCCTCCTTCCCCCAGCTCCTGGAAACCACTATTCCTCTGTCTCTATGTATTAAACTATTCTAGGCCCCTCATATACGTGGAGTCGTATAATATTTGTCCTTTGGCTTATTTCACATAGCCGAATGTGCTCAAAGTTCATCTGTGTTGTAGCAGGTGTCAGAATTTCCTTCCTTTTTAAGGCTGAATAATATCCCATTGTATGTCCATAACACATTTAGTTTATCCATTCATCTGTCAATGGATACGTGGGTTGCTTCTACCTTTTGGCCATTGCGAATGATGCTGCTATGAATATGGGTGCACAAGTATCTGTTTGAGTCTCTTTCAGTTCCTTGGGGTCTCCTTGTTTCTGGGATATATACCCAGAAATGGAACTGCTGGATCATATGGTAATTTTATTTTTCATTTTTTGAGGCACTGCCATACTGTTTTCCTAAGTGGCTGCACCATTTGACATTCCCACTAACAGTGCACAAGGGTTCCAACTTCTCCACGTCCTTGCCAACACTTGGGGTTTTCTATTTTTTAAATAGTAGCCATCCAGGGGCCCCTGGGTGGCTCAGTTGGTTGGACAACTGCCTTCGGCTCAGGTCATGATCCTGGAGTCCCGGGATCGAGTCCCATATCGGGCTCCCTGCTCGGCGGGGAGTCTGCTTCTCATCTGACCCTCCCTCTCATGCTCTCTGTCTTTCATTCTCTCTCTCACAAATAAATAAAATCTTAAAAAAAAATAAAAAATAAAATAAATAGTAGCCATCCAAATGGATGTGACACCAGCTTTTGTTTATTCCTTTTTTATTTATTTTTTAAAAATTTTCATTTATTTGAGGAGGGAAGGGGCAGAGGGAGAGGGAGAGAGAGAATCCCAAGCCATCTCCACACTGAGCCTGACTCAGGGCTTGATGCTGGGCTTGATCTCACAACCCCAAGATCACAACCTGAGCCAAAATCAAGAGTCAGACACAACTGAGCCACCCAGGTACCCCGAAACCAAGTTGTTTTTAAAGGATGATTTCTCCTCAGTCTTGCTGTGGATAGATTTCCCTAGTAACCTGGAGAGGGAAAAGGAAGACTTCAACTTGACAAAAGTAAACCTTGAGAGATGAAATCATTAATACTGACACAAACACACACACAAGGGACACCTGGGTGGCTCAGTCAGTTAAGCGTCTGCCTTTGGCTCAGGTCATGATCCAAGGGTCCTGGGATCCAGTCCGACATCGGGCTCCTTGCTCAGCAGGGAGCCTGCTTCTCCCTCTGCCCTTCGGCTCCCCCTGCTTGTGTACGCTCTCTCTCTCTCTGACAAATAAATAAATAAAATCTTTTAAAATTTTTTTAAAAGGGAGAGAGTATAACTACTGGGCTATGGGGAAAAAAATTAAAACAAAACAAAACAAAAAAACACACAAACAAAAGGCAAATGCCCAGAGGATCATAGGGGAAGGGAGGGAAAAATGAAACAAAATGAAACCAGAGAGGGAGACAAAGAATAAGAGACTCTTAATCTCAGGAAACAACCTGAGTTGCTGGAGTGGAGGGGGGTGGGAGGTATGGTGTGGCTGGGTGATGGACATTAGGGAGGGTATGTTCTATGGTGAGCACTGTGAATTGTATAAGACTGATGAATCACAGACCTGTACCCCCAAAACAAATACATTATATGTTAATTAAAAAAAATTTTTTTAAAAGAAAAAAAAGGCAAATGCCCATTATTTTAGTGCTGATTGAGAATTCTGCTCAATATATGGGCTCATCGAGCTCTTGAAAAGATGTGAAAAAAATCTTATTTTGATGCTTTGCATTTTGCAGTATTTTAACTAAGACATTTTCATTTCATTTATATTCTTTTGTGTGTTTTTTTCTCTTTTACTCCTTGAAAACTTGATTAAAACCTCAAACAAACATATGCATAGAGCTACCAGCACTCCCATCCTGGATACCAGGTAGCTTCAGCCTTTGCAGGCCTATATAAGAAAATACTTACTAGGGGTGCCTGGGTCAGTCTGATGGTTAAGCATCTACCTTTGGCTTGGGTCATGATCCCAGGGTCCTGGGATCGAGCCCCACATCGGGCTCCTGGCTCAGCAGGGAGACTGCTTCGCCCTTTCCCTCTGCCTCTCCCCCCTGCTCATGCTCTCTCTCTCTCTCTGTATCTCTGTGTCTCAAATGAATAAATTAAAAAATCTTAAGAAAAAAAAAGAAAGAAAATACTTGCTACACATCCTTGTCAACTCCCAGGGGGATCTTTAGCAGGAAGCAGAGGAAGCTCCGACTCTGAAAGTGTGATCACAAGTAAAAGATCTCCCTAGGAGCTGACACAAGCAGAGTGACACAGATCCCCATGGAAAAGAGAGGTCAGTGTGGGCTGCAGCTTCTTGCCACCTCTCCTTAATTTTGGTCACACCCTTTATACCTGCCATGCCATCATTTCCTTTATTTTTTTTTTATTTTTTAAATGTATTTATTAAAGATTTTATTGGGGCACCTGGGTGGCTCAGTCGTTAAGGGGCTGCCTTCGGCTCAGGTCATGATCCCAGGGTCCTGGGATCAAGCCCTGCATCGGGCTCCCTACTTGGCAAGAAGCCTGCTTCTCCATCTCCCACTCCCCCTGCTTGTGTTCCCTCTCTTGCTGTGTCTCTATCTGTCAAATAAATAAATAAATGAGAGAGAGAGAACACAAGCAGGCAGAGAGGCAGGCAGAGGGAGAGGGAAAAGCAGGCTTCCCACTGAGCATCATGACCTGAGCCAAAGGCACTTAACCCACTGAGCCACCGAGGCGCCCCATATCCCTTAAATGTATGATCTTCTCAGCTGAATTTATAACTAATTGAACCCCAAATGAACCCAATTACTCCAAGTGAATCCACATCTTAAATTTCCCAGAATACTCTTAATTTCAAACATTTTATCCTATATATCAGAAATATGCTCTTATTTGTTAGACTATGTAAATTTCAATCACCTTATGCTTAATATAACATGGTATGCTTCAGATTTCTGTCCTCTGCTGTACCTTGTTTATTCTTCAGTGATGATTTGGAGGCTTACAAAATTTACATAAGTAAGAGGTGGCAGACAGGCAATGTCTGTCCCACAGATACCTTTGCTCTGGCCCACATGCTGTTTTTAAAATTTTAAATTTACTTAAAAACACTAAAAATTCAGGAATTTTTACACAAAAATCAAAATTTCTGGAGTCTGCTAAAAATATATAGATGACAACACTGGACCCATATTTGTTGTCAGTTGCTACTTACCATTATATTTGTGTGGTTGTTTTTCTCACTGTGGAGAAAAAAGTAAAATAACAATAAAAAAAATTCCCTCTATTATGCAGCCCACTACATTTACAATTTTCCTGCCTGACCCCAATTGTCAACTTGAGTTTGTGCCCCAGTTCTGGCATGTTCAAGAAAGTACAGTGACTACACTGGTTGATTATATCAGACTTCCTGGGCTTGAGTGCAGACTTCCACCACTTAGCCTCTCTTTGCCTTGGCTGCCTCCTTTGTAAAACCGGGACAGTAACGGTGTTCACCGACCTCAGAGGACTGAGTTACTAAATGTAAAGTATTTAAGACAGTGCCTACAGTTTTAGAAAAATAAAATGGCCCAGGAACCCAGGGGCCATGTCTATCTTATTTACTGTTGAATCCCAGTGGCCAGCACAGAACCTGGAACAAAAAAGGCAGCAATACAAACTTTTTATCAAAATAAGTGAGGCGTGAGGAAGCCTAACAATCTAGCGATATTTAGAGGAAGGAGATGACAGACGTGTTCTCCTCTCTACAGGAGGACAGAACAACGTTACGTGAAGAACAGTTTAAACAATCAGGGATGCGGAACCCTATTAGACTGGGGAGAGGAGGCGGGTAGGGGCGCGATGCGATCCTCAGATCTTTTGAAAGGCTGTCCTGGGGAACAGGGTGTATGTTCCTTACAGCCTTACTGGGAAAAATCAGGACGAGGGAATGCCCATACAAGGAGAAAACCTGGCTTTTTTTTTTTTTTTCCACAATCCCACGACGTGCAGCGAAGACAGCATGGTGAGGCCCCAGATGCGCAAGCGCCGCACGATGGCAAGGCGGAGTCGCCGAAGCAAGAATTCGGCTGTAGCGGTGTAGATTAAGGCGTCGTCTGACTGGTGAGAGTTTGGCGGGAACAGAAGGATGCCAAACAAAGGAAGTGCTGTAAAATGTCGCTCACTGACGGGGGTGGGATTATGCGACAGAGATTCGGAATTATCCATTTTGATTGGTTGTTTTCTTGAGACACGCCCTATCAGCCTCTCGCCGCTCCTTGCTTCCGCTTGCGCAGCTTGTTTTCCCTTAGTAAAAATGGCCGCAGAGGCTCCCGGCCCCCTCGGAAGCGGAGTGCGCATTTTCATAAGCATGGCCAAAGAAGACAGGAAAAAGCGTAGAGTTCGTGAGCATTGACTGGCTGAGGCAAGAAGCGTTCCGGACGCTGACTGGTTCCGCCGTTCGCGGGAAGGAGTTTGTGGCACCAGCGGGAAGTAGATTTAACACTGCGGCCGCAGCAGGGTTCTGAGGAGTTCGACGAACCCACCAGACAGGCGTCTTCTGGACTTCTTTCCTGAGGGAGTCGGGACCAAGATGTGGTTTAGTAAGGATGAGAGTTGCAAGGGGGATTTAGCAGGAGGGCGGGGGTCGGAGAGGCGTGTGACGGTGCGAGTGGGGGAGGGAAGGGGTGGCGAAGGGGCGGGGGCCGGGGCAAGGTTGTGGGGAAGATTGGGGCGATGCTGGGAGTGGTTGGCCGTGGGGTGAAGTCTGAGGGGGCCTGTGGGTTGTTCAGAAGCTTGGAAGGCAGCACAGCCTTTGATACTGTTGTTTAAAACCAGGTGGATCTGAAAGCTACAGCAGCTCCTCCTTTGGCGGAGCGGGCGGCTACACGCAGTCCCCCGGGGGCTTTGGATCGCCGACGCCTTCGCAGGTTGAAAAGAAATCAGTAGGTTGAAAGAGTATTTCGTTTTATTTCATTCTGTCCTGAAGTTCCTAACTCGTCCCTGAGAAAATTTATGCGGCGAAAGATCGTCAAACACGAATTGATTGGATAATTACCAATTATTGCCTTACCGAATCTTAGAATTAAGTGCTGTAAGTTTAAAAAATGAAATTTCTCCTACTTTAACTTCTACCGTTGAATTGGCTTTATTTTGAAATTTACCAATATAGCTAATGAATCAGTCTTGTGGGAAAACTGGACTATGTTACTAGCGTATTCGCATTCTTCATGTATTCGAATTTTTTTTTTTTTTAATTAAATGTAATGAGGTGATAAAAAGCGGTGGAAAGAGCGTGGTCCTCGAAGTCCGGTAGATCGATGTTCTACCATTGCTCT